TGTTGGTATGTGGTGCTGAGGATCGAACCCGGGCCGCACGCATGCCAGGCGAGCGCGCTACCGCTTGAGCCACATCCCCAGCCCTGGTGTTGACCTTTAACAACCCTAAATGACACGCTTTGGACTCTGTTAAAAACAGTCTCATAGAGCTGTGGCTCAGTGGCAGAGCACTTGCCTGGCATGTGTGAGGCCCTGGGTTTAAAAAAAAAAAAAAAAAGACAGCCTCTTTTTTCTCAATTTGCTTAACTTTCTCTGCACATACTATTAATTTAACCCCCAACTTTCCGACAAGTGTCTGAATCACCTTTCCTATTAATTTTCACCTTTCTATAACACTCTCTCATGCAGCTTCTCATCTGATCCAGTCTGAATCAGCTGTCTTCCTGAGATCCTCATACTTCTATGACAGACCTCCTATTTCTTAGATCCCATGACTTCCTCCTCCTTGGTTTATTCCTTTGCCATATTTGAATTTCCTGAGAAATGGAGGGAAGAAACGTTTTTTTGGTGGTGATGGGGTCTATTCTTACTCTCACACTTGACTGTATATAGAATTCTTGGGTTTTTTTGCTTTTTTTGTTATTGGGGATTGAACCCAGAGACAGTTTACCACTGAGCCACATCCATAGCCCCTTTTATTTATTTTCAGACAGGGTCTCACTAAGTTGCTTAGGACCTTGGTAAATTGCTGAGGCTGGCCTTGAACTTGCCAACCTCCTGCTTCAACAACCTGTGTCAGGATAAAAGGCATGCACCACGACATCCAGCTGTGTATAAAATTCTAAGATGAAAATCACTTTGAAGGCTTGCTCTTCTTCTAGATTCCAATATTGCTGTTGAAAAGTCTAAAGCTATTCTTATTTCTAATGCTTTGAATTAATCCTGATTCTGTCTCAAGAAGTTCACATGATTATTCTGTTCCCAGTGTTTGAGATAAAAATCCCCAAGATATATCTTAGTGTAGATCATTCATATACTGGATAGGCTGTTTGACTCTGAAAACTCAATTCTTCAGTTAAAGGAAATTTTCTTAAATGATTTCACCAATGATTCTATTCTCTCAGTTTCCATCTATTTTTTCTTTTCATAATTCCCACTATTTGAATTTGAACTTCCTGGACAAATTCTCAAATTTTATCTTTCCCCATTTTTATCTTTTCATTCTATTTTCTAGGAAATCTCAACTACATTTTTTAAAAAAAAAGTTTCACTTCTGCTATCAAAATTTTAAGCTCCAAAAGCTCAATGTTTTGAGTATACTCTTTTTAATTAGTTCTTAGTATGTTCTTTTTAAATAGTATTCTGCTCTTTCAGGTTTGCAGTGCAGTACTCTCACTGTATCTGTGGGGAATACATTCCAAGACCCCTAGTAGAGGTCTGAAATCTTGGATAGTACCAAATCCTATATTTAATGCTTTTTTTTCCTACACATACATACACAAATTTGATATCTTTCCTTTCCTAATAAGCACTTACCACATGCTGTGCCCATCTTTTGCAGTCTGAGGTGTGATATTAAAAATAGCACAAATTTCTTTTTCCTTCACAGACACAGATTTACTGTAGATCTTAGCAACCTCAGGACACAACTTTTTCAAGTTGAGAACTTTTCACATTTCACTTAAGGAAAACACTTAACAGCTTCTCTTTGGCATATCTGAATTGCTAGCTTCACTACTCTTGCACTTTGGGGCCAGTATTAAGTAAAACAAGGGCTACCTGAACACAAGCACTATTATACTTTGACAGTCAATATGATAACCAAGATAGCTATGTGACTGACAAGTGGGTAGCATATACAGCACAGATATACTGGACAAAGGAATGATCATGCCCTAGGTGGGATAGAGCAGAGGTGGCACAAGACTTCAACATGCTACTCAGAATGGTATGCAATTTAAAACTTATAAACTGTTTATTTCTGGAATTTAAAATTTTTAGACTGCAGCTGACCACTGATAAATGAAACTATGGAAAGTAAAACTATGAATAAAAGGGCACTACTGTGCATGCTTATCTCTGAAGACAGTAATGAAGTTTCTTTTCCTTTTAAAGTTACTATTGCTGGGCATGGTGGTGCACACCTCTAATCTCAGGGTCTTGGGAGCCTGAGGCACGAGGATTGCAAATTCAAGGCCAGGCTCAGAAAACTTAGTGAGACCCTGTCTCAAAATTTTAAAAAATTAAAAGAATTAGGGATGTAGTTCCATGGTAAAGTGCCCTTGGGTTCAATCCCCAGTACAAAAAGGAAAAAAAAAAAAAAAAACCCTAAAGTTAAGTTTATTTCTCCTTTCCTGGCCTCTGTTTCTCCAAGTAGCTTTCTTCTTATTTGTCTGTTTCTATTGCATTTACTAGGGTTTCTTTATTTGACTGTTAATTTGTGGCTGCCTATTTATATTTAAGAGGAAGAGATGCTGCTGGATGTGGTGGTATATGCCTATAATCTCAGCAACTCAGGAAGCTGAAGCAGAAGAACTGCAAGTTCAAGGCCAGCCTCAGCAAATGAGCAAGACCAGATCTCAAAATAAAAAATAAAAAGGACTGGGGATATGGCTCAGTGTGGCTCAGTATCCCTGGTACCAAAAAAAGAGAGAGATGAAAAAGCTCTGAGTACATAGGTGAAATCTGACAACTGTGAGTTTCAATGCTGGGTGATCTACCTGAGCCATTTTGTTTAGAAAACTCTACTTCTTTCCTCTGAGGCCAGAGAAAATCCTCACATTTTTTGCCTGTAGGAAAAAGGCCTGTCCGCATGTTCTAATGGTCAAGCAAAAGAAAATGCCTAGAAATCCCAGCTATCAGTATGCTCAAATGATAAAAATCCTATTTTCACTGTTAACCCTACCTTCAACTGCACCTAGGGGACCTCAATCCAGGGGCCCTCTGTATTAACCTCTTCAGAGATAAATCCTTGGTCTTACTTGAGTAAAGGTAGTTCACATTTCTAGCAGCCCAGCATGGGAGGGGAATCCCCAGCTTTTTATTCTTTTATTTATTTTTTATTTTTTACAGTACTGGGGATTGAACCGAGGAGTACTCTACACTAAGTCACTAACCCCAGTCCTTTTAATTTATTTTTTTAATTTTTGGGGGATGGGTATCAGGGATTGAACTCAGGGGCACTCACCCACTGAGCCACATCCCCAGCCCTATTTTGTATTTGATTTAGAGACAGGGTCTCACTGAGTTGCTTAGCGCCTCCGCTTTTGCTGAGGCTGATTCTGAACTCACGATCTTCCTGTCTCAGCCTCTGGAGCCACTGGAATTACAGGCGTGCGCTACCACATCTGACTCATTTTTGTTTTTTTATGCTGAGACAGAAACTAACTTGCCCAGGCTGACCCTGAACTTGTGATACTCCTACCTCAGCTTCTCTAGGTAGGAGGCACCATAGGCATATGCTACAGCACCTGGCTCACAGCTTCTCATATAGATTTGAACCAGTCCTTATTTTCGTCCCATCTTTGCCTCTAGAATGTCTGGTGCCACTGACTACAAACCTTTGGGGGACTTCTAAGGTAAAAATCAGGTTGGTTCTCAGATGTTCTCAGTTCTGGCTTATGATTCAGTTTCCTTGTCTGTTTTGTAGTTGCAGGAATTTTATTTACCATTGTATCCTCTGTTTTCATAATCTCTGTGATCTTATATCCTAAAAAAAAATCCCCTTTGTGTCGTTTTACTGGAGTTTCACTAAGGAATGGAAATAGCTATGCATACTTTTATCTTTTTTTACAATAAGTCAAAACTTTTAAGATGAACATTTGATGCTAGCAAAGACACACAGTGAAATAGGTACAGTGATGCTTAGAAAATAAACTCTAGTCTCCAAAAAATAATCTTATGTGTGTGTACACACTGGAAATTGAACCCAGAGTCTCTAAGTTACACCTACTGCATGCAAAATTGCCAATTTTTATCAAGAACCTGTTTATACCATTCAACGATTCCTCTGATAGGATTCTAGAATAGTTCAGGATGAACTAATCCTAACAAAATTAAATCTTCCCATTCATGAACATATCACCACATTCATTTGGGGCATACATCAGTTTCTACTTCCAGTACATTTTCTTCTTCTCTGCTTAGAGGCAATTATCTGCCTCAAAGCATTTCTTGCTGTATTATTGTACTAGCTTGCCATATTATTGTACTAGCCTCTACTATCAAACACCTGAACTATCTTCTAAAACTGCAAATCTGAAAATGGCATATCTTTGATGAGAGAGCCCCTCATTTTAACCTATTTCTACAATTCCTTTCCTAAAACCCCAGTCTTAAATGACCCAGTTTGTGGTTCTTTTGTGGCACCCCTCTTTATTCCATATGTTCTGTCCTGTACTCAACTGTGCATACCCAAAGGCAGGGACTGATTTATTGACCTCCAGGGTGTTGATGAGAGGCCCTGCACACAGAAAGGGCTTTAGCAATATTTACTGAATGATCTAGTCCCAGACTTAATTTTATAGATGTGAAAACTAAGTCCCAGAGAAGCCTTTAGTAGGAAAACCAGGAGTAGAACCTAATGCTCCTGGCTCTTCATCTCAGCATGCACCTTCATTTTGGCAATTTCACTTTACTATTTCCTACATAGTGGTTTTAAAAAACTCTTCTCACGTTCTGTAGCTACTAAAAATGACAAATGTGAACAGCCAAAAAGTAAAAACAACCCAATATTCATTAGATAGTGAAGGGAATTATTGGGTCAGAAAGGGAATGAACTCCTGACATGGATAAACCTTAAATACCTACTAGGTGAGAGAAGACCACTTATTTTTCTATTATCATGAATTGGCCAGAAAAGGCAAATCTAGAGACAGAAAACAGATCAATGGTTGCCTGGTCCTAAGGGCTAGAATGAAGAGTGACTACAAATATTAATAAGGGATCTTTCTGGAATAAGAGAAATGTTCTAAAACTGGATTTTGGTGATGGCAACACAACTGAATTGTGCACTTAAAATGGATAAATTTTATGGTATGTAAACCATAATGCAATAAACTGGTTTTCTTTTTAAAAAATGACAATTATAAAAATCATTCTAGACTAGCACTGTCCATAAGAAATAAGCTAGGCACATATGCACTTTAAAATTCTTTAGTAGCCACATTAAAAAAGTAAACAGGTAAATTAATTTCAATAATTTTATTTAATAAAGGCACAATATTATCATTTCAATGTGTCAATTGTTACACAAAAGTGTGAGATATTTTACAATCTTTGTTTCATACTAAGTCTTGAAATCCAACATAAATTATATATACTTTCAGCTGGAACTAGTCACATTTCAAATGCTTAATAGCTGCATGTGACCAGTGGCTACCAATTGGACAGTGCAGTTCTAGACCGTCAAATTTATAAAACATTAAAAAATCTATATACTGATTATTACTACATCAAAATTTTCACAAAAAACATATGGAAACATAACAAAAATGTTTACTAGGATGGAATATAGATAACCTCCTTATTTTCCACTTTTTGAAAAGGAGGAATGTTTCTTTTTTAATGAAAATAATACTTACACTGTATATCTATAAAAAGAAATGGCATTCTCCCTCCAAAGAAGAAGGCAGCGGGGAACAGATAGCTAAAGATAGCTTTGCAGGGAGCTCCAGCTGGCTACACTGCAGCCTGCCAGTATGAGAACATGAAAATCACAGATGCCTTGGACTAGGGGGATACTGCCAAGTCCAAAGGACCTAGAGATGCTGGGAACTACCAAAATGGGGTGGGGCAGAAAGAGGGCAGAGTGGTAAAGCAGGAGCTGGCTAAAGAAGCTGGTTAGCCATTAGCCAAAGCTATGGAGATATAAGCAAAGAGTACATGTTTAAAAGTGTGTGACAGTCTTTAAAAAAGAGCTTAGGATCAAACAGTTCCATGACCTTCTCTCATATATATGCATCTTAGCTACCTAAATCCTTAAGAATCTTCTACTCTTACAGTTTTCCTTGGCATTGTAGACTAGAACGAATGCTGGGCTATGAATGAGAAAGAGGGAAGTCTGAGAAAAAGTCAGACCCAAAGTCTACTTATGAAGTAGCAAAACTGAAAGGGTCTTTGATGATTTTTTTTTTTTTCTTTTTTAGGGGGTATGTGCTGGGGATCAAACCCAGGACTTTGCACATGCTAAGCACACACTCTACCATGGAGTCAATCTGCAGCCCTCCTTGATCATTTTGACCCCAGTAATCCTTAACTGGGGTAAAGCACAAAGGGAAAAGGAGAGTCCCTTCCAAGTGCAGGAAGGTTGCCAGGGCTGTTTTAAGATGTTGCTTCCCTTGTTCAATATCCCCCCAATTCATGGTTAAGTATCATTAAAATGTAAAAAATTTTATCCATAGGATATAAAAATAATAGCACAAGGTGAATGCAAGAAAAAATTCAGAGAGAACCACAGACCAAGTCCAAAGCTCTACTGCAAAAGGTCCGGGATACCTCAAAAAGACTAAATATTAACAACTACCGAATATGTCCTATATATAAGACTAAGTGGCAATAAGGCCAAGGCCAGAGGGAGAAGAAGGGAATAGGGAGTAATACCAGCACAGAGTAAGAACTAAAGCAGAGATGGAAGATATACTAATTCCTTTTTACATAGGAATGTTGATCAGTTTTTTGTTTTTTATTTTTTTTAAGGTCCACACCAGAAAACTGGCAGATGCCAATCAATGCCAAAAATTCCCAGAAATATAAAGTCCCTCACAGATATGTGAAGTTGTATACCCAGCAATACGTTTTTGTTTTTTTTTTCTTTTTTTAGGGTAAGAAAAAAATTGTCAGAGAAAGTGGATAGGCCAGGACTCTGGATTCAACTTTTGACCTGTAAGTAAAAAGATATACCCACTGCTCCAAAAAAGGTAACAATATGAAAACATGGCACAAATAGCTATTTGTCCTCTGATATTATTTCATAATAATTTGACTTACAATTTGTAGGTGGTATATGACCATCCAGTGTAAAAATAACATTCCCTAGTTTTCCTTACAGCTAGATGTGGCCATGTGACCAAGTTCCAACAGAAGATAAGTTGATAGATTTGCCTTTAAAAGCAAGGAAACATTCTAGCCCTGCCATTCCTCCATTTCCCTCTTCCACTAACTGAAACACAGTTATGATAATAAGCCAGTCCTAAGGTACCCCCCCCCCCAAACACAAGGCCTGGAGGGCTCACAATCACATTGTGTATCTACCTATTATCATAGGTCTCTACTAGAATAGTCACACCTACAACTCAATTAGGATAGAAAAGGAACGAGAGCAGGGGTAAACTCAGATGAAGACTACCACTGCCACCAAAAAGGATATCACTAAATCATTCCTACTCCTTGTTCACTTTTCCTGGACACTCACCGGCACACCATGGGACATGAGAGTGTTTGGATTCATGAGAGTGACAAGTTGGTGCAAGAGGTCAGGCTGGCTATCAAAGAGCTCAGGTGTCAGCTTCTTCATTACTTCTTCCAAATGTTCTGCTGCAAGTGAGGGTACCCCATACCAGGTCTTCGGCTCACCCCTACTCAAGTGGAAAAGGAACACATAATGTAGTCACACCTGATGTCATGCAGAGAGCCCATCCTGACTGCTTCCCAGGCTCTTCAGGGCCCCACTCACCAGTGGAGGTAGTTAATGGAGTAACTCCAGTGATCCTCAATATGCCAGCAAAAGGCTGAGAAGACCATGCCCACATAGAGCCAGGGCACCTTCATGCCAGAGATATCTGCATTGATGTGGCATAATACAGACTGCTCCAACACTGGCATCACATTCAGATTCCATCCACTCGTAGCATACTCCTGTAAGGTCAAATATTTGGGGGATCACATCTAAACATCTAAAACTGAAGTTTTCTTACCCCTCTTCCCTCAAAATGCATAAACACAAAATTTCAATTCAATTTGATCTATCCATCTACCACCTAAAAGTCAAAGCCCTCTGCCAACTGATTTTCAACAAAGGCATTAAGAACACACATTGGAGAAAGAGCAGTATTTCCAATAAATGTTGCTGGAAAAACTAGATATCCATATGCAAAAGAATAAAACTGTACCCCTATCTTCCATCATTAATAAAAATCAACTCTAAATGGGTTAAGGCTTAAATATAAGACCTTAAATTATGAAGTTAATAGAAGAAAACAGTGGATACACATCAGGACATTGAAACAGGCAAGGGTTTTTGGTTCCTTTAATATGCCACATAACACCCCCAAAACACAGTGAACAGAAGCAAAAGTAGACAAATGGGACTACGTCAAATTAAAAAGCTTCTGCACAGCAAAGCAATCAGCAGAGCGAAGAGACAACCTACAGAATAGGAGAAAATATTTGCAAACAATATCTGACAAGGAAGTAATATTCAGAATAAGTAAGGTAATAAAAATATTCATTACCAAAAAAATAGATAACCTGATTAAAAACTTGGAAATAGACCTTAATAGACATTTCTCAATAGATGACATACAAATGGCCAGCAGATATCTGAAAAACTGTTCAGTATTACTAATCATCAGGAGAATACACAGTGAAACCACAAAGAGATATCACTTGACCTGAGTAAGAATAACTAGTATCAAAAAGATAAAGAGGCAGAGAATATAGTTCAGCATAGTTTGCCTAGTATGCACAAGGGTTTGATTCTAAGCACCACAGAAAAAGAGAAAAATAAAAACAAAAGTTAGTAAGTGCTGGCAAGGATATGGAGAAAAGTAACCCCTGTACACTATTGGTAAGAATGTACATCAGTATAGCCATGTTGGAAACAGTATGGAGGTTCCTCAAAAACTTAAAAATAGAAGTATCATATGATCCAGCAATTCCACTACTGGGTATATATCCAAAAGAAAGGAAATCAATATGTATGTCAAAGAGACATCTGCACTCCCATGTTTATTGCAGCACTGTTCAAAATCGCCAAGAAATGGAATCCAACCTGAGTCCATCAACCAATGAAGGAACAGAGAAATTGTGGTAACTATACACAATGAAATACTATTCAACTATAAAAAAGGATGAAATCCTGTCATCTGAAGCAAATGGATGGAACTGGAGATCATTATATTAAGTGAAATCAGCCAGGCACAGAAAGCCAAGTACCACATGATCACATTCGTATTTGGAATCTAAACAAGTTCATACCTCATAGAAACTGAGAGTAAAATGGTGGTTCTAGTGAGCAGAGAAAGTAAAGGTAAGGGCAGAACTAAGAAAGGTTGTGTATCTAACTATATATACTAAGTTATAGTTAGATAGTATGAAATTCTGGTATGCTACTGCATAGTAGGTTGACTATAAATAACATTTATGAGCTAGGCGTGGTGGTGCACGCCTGTAATCCCAGCAGCTCAGGAGGCTGAGGCAGGAGGATTGCTAGTTCAAAGCCAACCTCAAAGCCAGCCTCAGCAACAGCATAAACAACTCAGTGAGACCCTGTCTCTAAATAAAATACAAAATAGGGCTGGGGATGTAGCTCAGTGGTCAAGCTCTCCTGAGTTCAATCCCCAGTACAAAAAAACCCCCAACAACAATTAAGTACTATTATATTTCAAAAAGCTAGAAGAAAGGATTTTGAATGTTGACCATAAATAAATGAGATATTTACTCTCATTTAAACATTACATAATATATACTGTACTGAAACATCACATGGTACCCCATAAGTATATATAATTCTAATGTTTTTATATATCAGTTTTAATAATAATACATTTAATAATTGTATAAATTTTAAAACAAACATCAAAACCCTGTTCTAAACCCAAATGCTACTCTTCCCTTGAGATAGACTGGGCCCTCAATTTCCTATACATCCAAATCCCACTCCCTGAACACTTCCTATGAATGAGCTGAGCAAATTCTTGTAACATTTGCAAGATAGGTATTATCTCCATTTCAAAGCTAAGAAAATAGATTCAGAGAGGTCAAAGAACCCATCTTGCGTCTATACACACCAGGTACTAGACTATGTTCTTTACATACAGCATTTCATCTAAATTTCACAGCAACTGCATTAAGAGGCATAATCATCTCCATCTTAGAGAAATATTGAATCTTTCAGATACTAAATGACTTGCCTAAGCTACACAGCTGATATATAACCATGGTATTTACCCACTCACCTCCTCCTCAGGGGTTAGGTGCCGCTTACTGTCACTGACAGGGAAACCACTGCCAAATTCTTTGGAATGGATGTCAGCCCCATACTCGACAGTCACATCTTCCTCAATACTATTCACTAGCCGCCAGAACTCCTTCTCTACTAGTTCTGTAGGCACCATCTGGGGAAACAGGGACAGCAGAGAACTGTGGTACGTCTTATCCTGGCCCCATTGACCCAGGAGAGGTGAGACTATCAGGAACCTATGACCCTAGCCCCAACATTATCCCAGCCCTCCATCACCTACATGCACGGGCATGTTGAAGTAGTCGGCTTTAAAGGAGTCAGCCATCTCGCCAAAGCTCTGCAGAGTGTACTCCCGGGTAGCCTGCTCAAAGCCAAAGGCTTCAGGGGGCCGTTTACACTCCTGAAACCCAAAGGAGAACATGTCACCAAAACAGGCAAAGAGATAGAGAATCCTCATAAGTGGAACTGGAATATGGAGTAGGAGTAAGGGAGAGAGGTCTGCACTCAAGGCCTTTGAGGCAGCTTTTACTTTATAGCTCTATTTTTTTCTCTTACACTTGATCCTAATTCATCTTTTCCATTCCCCACATACACCCTCATTATGTTTTTGTTCATATAGATCCTCCTTATTTGAAATGTCCCCTCTCTCTCTCTCTCTCTCTTTTTTTTTTTTGTAGTGCTGAGGATTGAACCCAGGGCTTCACACATGCTGAACAGGTGCTCTACCATTGAGCTATACCCTCAACTCCTCTCACATTTTTTACATGACTCTTCGAAACTCAACTTCAAGCCAAATACATTGGTGCATGCCTGTCCCAGCTACTTGGGAGACTGAGGCAGAAGGATCACTTGAGCTCATGCATTCAAGAGCAGCCTAGGCAAAGTAACAAGACTCCACCTCAAGAAGAAGAAAAAAAAAAAAAAAAAGCAGCTGAGTAGGATGGTGCATGCCTGTAATCCCAGTGGCTTGGGAAGCTAAGGTAGAAGGATCACAAGTTCAAAGCCAGCCTCAGCAATTTAGTGAGACCCTGTCTCAAAGTAAAAAAATAAAAAATAAAAAAAATATGGGGATGTAGATCAGTGGTTCAGCACCCAGAGTTCAAACCTAGTACCAAGAAAAAAAAGAAAAAAAAAGAAAAAACACAAAACCCAACTTCTGTCCCACAGCCTCCAGAAACTGTTGCCTCATACCTGTAGCCTATACTCTTCTTTAAGATTCTACCATCTAAACCACATGCTCTAGCTTTAATATGGTCTCCCATGCTCTTCTGCCATCATTTTTTCTTTCCAGAAAGTATGAGTTCATATAAGATACTTCTAATGAAGCTTTCTTAATGGTCAGATTGGAACTTTTCAGCCTGGGAAAATGGCACTGAATATTCTAGTACCTTACTGAATGGAAAAACGAAGGCACTAGTTTCTATAGTGTCACATCCTTCACTATTCCTGTTCTGTAGACTGTCTAAGAAGACAGGACATGGGTTTGCCTTACTTGTATCTATATTCATGATTTCAGATGAGAATTGTATGCACCCCACACATCCTGCTCATGATAGAAAAATAAATGTCAGCCTGGTCCACTGGCTCATAACCACTTAAGAGAAGAGAGCCAAGTAGAGTTCACAGTCTTCCTCATTCATGACACTATTGGTATCCAAACTTTTCCAGACAATAATCTCCACTAATACCAAGGCCATTATGCATTGTATTGCCCTGATCCTTTTCCATATGTGTGTGTGTTACATGTGCACATCCGGTCTCTACAACCACAGCTAAGTCCCTAAGATGAGGTGAAACCACCAATGTGTGCTCTCCAGAAAACCAGAGGGAAATGTAGAAGACAAGCACCAGGAATTTGGTTGAAAGCAGGAAGCTCATGAAATGGACCTGCCAGACTTCCCAGGTCCTTGCCTTCACTGCTGCTTCTGCTTACTGCCCCTACCTGCCCTAAGCACATTCTCTCCTATACAACTCAGCTCCCAATAATCCCCCATTCCCCAGGATTAATGCAAATCAATTTAAAGGTCATAATAGGAGAACAACCAAATGAACATTATACCCATATAATGAAAAAAAAGTCATACCTTGAATAAGTTTAATAAGGAAATATGAAGCAACAAATGACCATATATAACAAGACCCCGAACTTGTTAAAGATAGTTACACAGAACCGACAAAAAAAAGATGAGAAAAAAGTGTATCAGACTGTTAATAGTGATTATCACTAGGTGGCGATAGGTAATTTGTCTATTAAAAAAAAAAATCAAAGAATAAAAATCTCAGAAACATGAAAAAGAAATTTATTCCTATCCTTCAAAGCTCATTCCTGACACTTTCCCTGATTACTACTCCTTATCATTCTCCTCTCTTCTCAACTGCTATACCTCAGAATTTCTTAGTGTCTGCTTATAAATCACCAAACACAATTTCTCTGTTCATGACATTTACCTAGGAACTCCCATAGAACACAAGCAAAGCTTGGGTCTCTTCTTTCTCTCTCTCCCAAAGTTATGCTCAGACTAACCCCACCCCAGGGAACCAAAACATAAGGCTTGTGGCTGAGCTAGGAGGCTGTCCTCAGTAAGGTCAGAGGAACAAAGGACAGGATACCCTATATGGATGGATTGGGAAAGCCTTACCGCCATGACACACTTTGGGCATCGCCAGACACCTTTTGGTATCTCAGGCAGAGGAGGCAACAGGCAGAAAATGTGGTAGTTATCATCACAGCCATCACACAGCAGGAGCTTGTCATCCTCATCCCCTCGGGAACACATCCGGCATACATATGACTCAATCTGACATGGGAGGTAAGTAAAAGTCCATCAACACAAGCCCTGTCCAGCCTTCAAACTCCAGGTCCATCCACATAGAACCCTAGTCCAGAGAGCAGCTGTGAAAACCTGCTGTGCTTGCCAGCTGAATCATTCATGGCCCTGTATGAGTTACTCATGTGAGGTCTAGAATTCAATGGCATGTATGTCCCATCTCCCCAAATAAGCGGGCAGAACTGTAAGAAAGGTCTTTATGATTGTCTTGAATCTTTCCATTTTTATTAATTCAGTGAACATTTACTGAATCAGCATTACACTAGACCCTATGGCACAGAAATGAGTAAGACATGGTATCTGCCTTCCAAAGGCTTACGGTACTCTAGACACCTATGTTTATAAAAACTTATGGCCAATATGGGCCATAAAAGGTACTATGGGAGCCTAGAGAAGGAAGCACTCAAAAAACAGCTGGAGATAAGGAAGGACAGCCTTGAGGGAGGACTTCTTTGTAAAAGTGACACTTGATACTGGATGAACCCTTCAGGCAAGTGGAAGCTTGGCAATGGAGCACAGCAGGAGAAACTTCAAGACAGAAATAACATATGCAAAGGATGCAGGTAAGAAAGAGGATGGCATATCTCAGGGGAAAAAAAACCAAACACACCCTCAAATAGTTTGGTGTGGCTACAGCAGATGAATGAGGTGGGCAGTGATAGGGAATGAGGGTAGAGGTCACCAGGAACTGGATCGTGCATGATAATGAGGAGCTTAGCCTTTATCCTAAATTAATGGACAGTGTGTCTCATTCTCTGGACCCTTCCAGCACTTCATGTAGACAACACTTGATCACCCTTTCTTGTTCTTTGTTCCAAGTGAGTTGGCTTTGTTTCCCAATTAAGGGCCCACCAGACACACTTGTCTGTTTAATGCAGTGTCATGCTGGGAAAATGCTCATTGAAGGGCCATGAAGCAGAACATTAGAGAATCAGGGCTAGGTCCTTACAAACTGAGCATTGCTGTGGTTCCTCCTCAGCCTCATGGTCATCTTGGTGCAGGGTTCTGGGCTGTGACTCAGCTCCTCCTTGCTTTCAACGAAGGTCTTGGGCGAGTTTGACTCCACCTTCATATCCCCACCTGACTCCTCCTTCACCACTACAGTGGGGGGACACTCAGGGCCTTCCTTATCTAGCAGAAAGAAAAGTGGCTCTAAACATAGGTCTGAGACGTGTAGGGCCCTACCTCCTCCCCCAAGGTGAGACCATCCCTCGCCTATTAGGGCTCACCTTTCTTCCGCAGAGTCTTATCTTTGGCCATGAGGCCTAGGCCCATCATCTTGGGACCTGCCCCATATATCTGTAGCTTCTTCAGTTCTGGATTCTTTTCAATATCTTCTTCTGTGGGTTCCGGCTAGGAGGAAAAGAAATGAATCAAGACTGCTATCTGTGGCTGAATGCCCCATTCAGAAAGAATAACTCGGACTATGTATCACCCAAGCGCAAGCCAGGGGCTCAAACACAGATGGACCAAGACAAGAATTCAGGTGATTTTTGGACACTTGGGGTAAATGAGCTCCCACCTCAGCCCTCTCTTAGAAAGTAATTAAAGATAAAATCTGTTTTCCCAGCTATAAAATGAGACTATTAACTCCTACCTTATATTGATGAGGCAGTTCAGGGATAACTCATATTAAGAAAATCTAACATTGTTTGGCTTTATCAATTAGTGGCAGTGACTATAATAGTCTGCTGAATTATATGCTTCAATGAGCCCAGGGGCAGTATCTATCCTGTTCTCTACTCTATCCCCAGCATCAAAAACACCTGGCACATAAGCTTCTGCCTAAAGTTAGGATACAAGGTATAAAGAAAAAGACTTTCACTTCTATGAACAGAGTGAGTCAAGGATAGAATAGACAGGTAAGAAGGGCAAACATACAAAAGGTATTACACAAACAGATCAGGATCTAGCTCAATAGTGCAGCCAAGAATGGAGAAATGAGCAAGAATGAAAGCAGATATAAGCACACCAATGCTTAAAAACTCAGAGAATGAGCTGGGCATGGTGGCACATGCCTATAATCCCAACAGCTTGGGAGACTGAGACAGAAGGAACAAGTTCAAGGCCAGCCTCAGCAACTTGATGAGACCCTGTCTCAAAATAAAACATAAAAAAGGGCTGGGGATGTGGCTTAGTGGTTAAGTGTCCCCGAGTTCAATCCCCAGTACCAAAAAATAAAAAATAAATAGGGCTGGGGATATAGCTCAGTGGTGAAGTGCCCCTGGGTTAAATTCCCAATTACACTCCTCTCCAAAAAAAAAAAAACCCTCAGAGAATGAGAGAGATAGTACAATAGGGAACACAGCCTTGGTCAGCGAAAAGAAGATTTTCCACCCCAAAGCAACTCTAAATTAAAAAAGGGGAAGTACTCACATCAGGCTGCAGTCTCTTGGCCCGCCGACCATAGCTGTTGAACTTGGAAGGCTGCACGGACTGTCGAAGGGGGATGCTGTGGGGTTTGTATTCTTTGTCCTTCTCCTCATTATCAAACGGACGTGTGTTACACTGCTGGGGACACATGAAGGGAAGGGATCAGGGCATGGAACTTCAGTCCTCAAGAGCAAAAACTTCCCTCTAACCTCACTCAACAGCCACCAAAATTGTGGTACACTGCCCTGACACATACCAATAGCCTCCCTTCAACGAGTCTTTATCAGTGACACCAGATGCATTTGAGGACCTCTCAGTGCTTTTGCACAGTCATTCCTCTTTCCAATATCCTTCTTCAACCATCTCCCAAAGTAAATCAGACACTATCTCTTCCCACAACCTCTCTAGTCCAAAAGATCCCTCCCTCTTCTGAATTTCTCTGTCAGTTATGACTTTGTCAATAGTAGGCTAGCTCTACAGATAACTCCCTGACCTCTAACACTGGACAGTGTGGGAAAAGAAAAGGCTCACTAGGAAAGGGTATGGTCTAGCTCCCAGAGCTCTAGTCCACAAAGCTAGTTTTATTAAGAGCAAGAGTGATAATCCAGTTGGATGCAGTGACACATGCCTGTAATCCCAGTGGTTTGGGAGGCTGAGGCAAGAGGATCACGAGTTCAAAGCCAGCCTCAGCAAAGGCAAGGCACTAAGAACTCAGTGAGACCCTGTCTCTAAATAAAATATAAAATAGGGCTGGGGACGTGGCTCAGTGGTTGAGTGCCCCTGTGTTCAATCCCCGGTACCCCCACCCCCCAAAAAGAGTGACAATCTATGTCTGAGGGTAAAGCCCTACTTTATCTCTGCCTGGCATCCTTACCACAAGGTTGGCTCCAGACTGGTACATCTCATAGGGATAAACGATGCGTTCATAGTGAGAGCGTAACAGGGAACCAATGTTTTTGCCTGGTGGATAGTTGAGGCGCTGGGCCACCCGGGCCCACCGACGGTCCTTGCAGATGGCTTCATAACCACCTTCCTCCACCACAATCTGAAAGGACAAGCAGGAAAGGACATAAATGTGCTGTGTTTATGTACATAAGGAAGCAGGCCTGTCAAAGGGGAAATAGGAACAACCCCAGCCCCTCACTTTACTGGGGGCTACCCCTTTCTCCCAATCTCAAATTTCAGCAAGAGATGCCAAGATGTTCTGATGACACCTGTGCGCTATCAGGCTGCGTCCTTTCAACTGTAGCCTAGAGATCTAATATCCAAAATAAGGAGAATCCAGAGTAGCAAGGTTACTGGGGTGGGGTAGGGATATTTGAAAAAAAACCTGTTCTTACTTTGCTGAGGCTGTAGAGGTCCAAAATCCGCCGTTCTACATTGGGAATCTTTAAGGAGGAACCCTGGATTTCCCAGAATTTGGCAATCTGGTCCAAGTAGTTCAATTTCACTCTTGTCTGGGCCTGAAGAAGAAATGGCTCAAAGAGACTGGCCAGCCCTTCCCCCAATTCCTATCTTCTGGCTCAAGAGAAGGAGAAAAGGGAACAGAGCAGCCCATGTACACTAACTCAGGGCTTTTCCTACTAAATTGGATCTCATGCTCTGGTCAATGCTTAGTTTTCTCTCTCTCATCTCCCAAGAGAGGGTAGAACAACCAAAGCTTTATATACATTTATTCCCAATCTCCCTGACAGGGTTGTATGAGTATTATCATCTCTTGTACAGAAGAGGACACAAAGGATCAGAGAGTTATATCACACAGCAAGCATCAAGATACCTGGGTTGTCAAACAACTAAAGTTTTAGTTTTCCCTCTACTACTGATTTGCTGTATAGCCTTGAACAAATTGGTTCTAATGTCTGAATCAACCATATTTTTATTATACAAAGAAAATAACTGGCTGTCCATCTACCCTAGAGGAGTAAACTCAATAAGACCAGTAAAGGCCCTCTGGAAACTTCAGAATTGTATCTAAGCTCTAAGCAGGTTTCAAAGAATGAAGACTCCAAAAGAACGTAATCACCTCCTTATGTACCATGAAACTGGATGCAAGAGTACCATGAAACTCTTAAAGGACAAGAGAACATGCTATAGGCAGAATGGACTAAAGAACTGAGATGGAATTCTGAAATAGCACCAACATCTGACCAACTCAGTACCTGACCTAGGGCAAAAATCCTAGGTAAAAGGCATGTATCATGCTTGCCTGGTACATGGGTCAACTCAGTGACCTAAGAAGGGCTCCCCAAAGCCCCAATTCTATAACCTCCTCACTCCAGTCAGAGGACATAGTTCTAGGGAGAATTAATTATTAGTATACACTGAGGCAGGAAGACTATAAGTTTAAGGCCAGCCTCAGCAACTTAGCAAGATCAAGATCCTATCTCAAAATAAAAAATAAAAAGTGCTAGGGATGTGGCTCACTAATTAAGTACCCCTGGGTTCAGTCGCCTGTACAAAATAAGACAGACAAGACAAAACATCCTACAATGAACAAGACAGCCCCACAAACCATCCACCATGACAAGAAAATGATCTGGCCCAAAATGTCAACAGTTTTGAGGTTACGGAACTCTGGTCTTGATAAACAAACTTTCAGGTTATGGGTATTTAGCTGGGCCCAATCACCCCTAGGACTTCTAGTAAGGCTCATGAATACATAATAATGTTGGAGGAGTGGAAGCACATGTCTAACCTACATCTTTCATGGAAAACTCCAGGACCTAACCTAGAACTGGTTTCAGAGCATCCTATTTCATTATCCCAGGGCATTCTCAATTCCTTGGTGTAGAACCCTATCTATCCATGAAAAAGGGCCTGGATTTCCTGTATAGAACAAAAGGTAGAGGGGAAAGCCTACCTGCCTGACCCTGCCTGTCTCTAACCATTCTTGCCTCTACATAGACCAGTCCTTGTGTTGTTCCTGCCCTTTTACCTCACCTCCCACCTTACCAAGCACCATGGAAAGAAGATAGAAAGCACAAGGCTATAAATGAATTAGATATATGAAGAAAGGGTCTCAGCCAGCCCTGTATTTCCTTTTTATTAACCCAAGAAGGTAGATCTTGACAGGGGAGCTTCAAAAATAGCAAACTTTTGTGGAAAAGGGGCATTTCTAGCCTTTGGGCCACCAAACCAGAAACGTTAAATGCCCCCTGATCTTGGTTTTATTTGGAGCTCTAAAGCTCCAAATAATAAAGGACCTTAGCCATAAAACATATGAAGGAAGAGGGATCGGAGCTCAGGTGTTCATTTTCCCAACCCAACCACCAGCTACCAGTCTTCTCACCTCTAGCTCATTCAGCCTCTGAATTCGGGGGGTAAACCTGAAGTTGTCCACTTCCACAGCAAAGGGTGGCTGCCAATCCTGAGAGAATAAAAAGGGGAAAAGAGACTAGCATTATCCCAGTATAATACAAGACTAGAGGGCAATAAAAGTAGCTCAGCACTCCTTTTACACCTTCCCAGATCTCTAGGCACCCCAGACCCATTAACCTGGCAAATACCCAATCCACCCACCCCTATTTCCCAGCAAGAACTCACAAAAGGCCTGGTAGACCCACAAGTCTACATCCAAGGTCCCATGCGTATGCCCTGGGAAACTTCTAGTCCCTCTCAACAGTACAATGTCAGGATTTCAAGACACAGAGAGATGGAGCCCAAAACAGATGACCCCAAACCCTCCTCACACCCACATTAACTCCCTATACCCAAGGCATGTACAGGAAAACACATAGGATCTACAGTCAGAAGACCTGGGTTCATGTTCTAGCTCCACTACTTACTAGTTATAAGATCTTACCTTTCTGAACCTGTATACTGATTTTCGAATGAAAACATCATTCAAAGGAGTCATCATTAAGACCTAACATCGAAGGCTAACCCCATAACCTAATACACACAAAAGGTAGCTCAGCTCCGATTCTGGCAGGATTTAAAGGTTTGGGACTTTCATGTCTATTCTCAGTTTAAAGGGCCTGAGATAGACACTGCAGGAAAAAGCAAGGAACATCAAACTCCTCATACTCCCTTGGTTTGGAAGGTTTCCTGTGGGTCTTCTCTTATATACCAGCCTCATACAGGAAGAGATAGGGGAGGAAGCCGAGGGCAGGTAAGCACTGAGATGCCAGACTGTGGTGGCAAAGAATGGTAAGATTTGAGGAGGGGGAAGTCAAGGAAAAATAATGAAAGTAAGGGAGACTCTGCCTTTTCATGCTGGAGCTTGTTTTCTCCCGCCCAAAGGATGACGGTAAAAGATTCCTCCCCTCTCTAGTACTCCACCCACCCCCAGCTACCATGTCCCTGGGGTGGGTGGGGTACTAGAGAGGGGTACCCAGAGCTCTGGCTTTTATTGGGGTGGCAAAACAAAAAGAACCTAGAATAACCTAGATCAATGCCCTCATTTTACAAATGGAGAAAATGAGGCCCAAAGAAGAAATGTGATTTCTCCAAAAATCACATGCTGAGTTAGTGGTGGAGTCACTCATATCTTTTAACTACAGGTCCAAGGTTCCTTGCACTACAGCAAGGCACCAGTGTTCATACATACATGTATATACATGGAAGGAAAGGTGGGGGGACAATAAGAGAGGGAAAAGCTGTTGACCTCTTCTACACTTACATTTTAGAAAAAGGGGCCAGAGAACTTACACTTGCATGCACACATACTCTTCCTCACCCTTCCTCCTGAACTCCAGCAAGAGCAGGTAAAAAATACAGTGAAGCAGGGGGAGAAAATATACGCTAAAATGATAGGCTAAAGCCCAGTCAAGCTTCCCATGTCTCTTGTCTCCCATCTCTAGGGCACTCCCCTCAGTGCAGATAACCCAGGTAGAAAGGTGCTCAAACCCAAAAGCCAGGCACCTTCTTTCCTACTGACTCAGGTTCTAGACAAGAATCAGTGCAATATCAAGCACCCAACAGGAAATTGCAGAACTGGAACCCTAGAGCAGGAGCTGTGGATGCAACTGATAGCTGGGGAAGGTCCAGCAAACTTCCTGTCTTTGGTCTCATACTACTGTGTGCCCATGTAAAATATGGTAGCATTATTAGGATGTGGTGACAAAAAGGCAGGAAATGAGAACCTTCCAAGCTCCCTTGGTCTATTCTAGGGTACCAACATTGTCCTCCCACCCATCTATCCCTAGTGTAGTAATACCTTCCCAGCAATTCAGACCCCAAATGACTCATCCTAAGGCAAACCTCCAGTTTCCAGGCACCCACCTATACACAGGTTTCTACCCTGAACCCAAGCATCACTTGGGTAAGTGCTTCGAATATCAACCTGCCTAACAGTCGTCTAGAAGAAAAAACAATATCAAACCAGAGAGCCAAGTGCCTTGGATTGGAGGGGAGCACACTGTTGGGGTAAAGAAACCTAACAAAGGACAGATCCCCTCCTGCCCACACATACACACACCAGGGTAATAACATGCAGAAGGCCAGCCTGCCGGGTAAGTCCAAGGTAGAAAAAAGGAAGTTGAGTCCTCAACTAATCCCTATGTCAAATATATTTTTTTCCCACAGGCCTGCCCAACCACTTCAGGGAGTGCCTCCTTAAGGGTGCCCAGGACTCCAGCCTCTCCCTTCTGCTGGCTTTCCTGACCTCTCACTCCCATTGCCACTCCCTCACCATGGATAAGGATACCTCAGAGATCTGTGGCCAGGATCCAACAAGGAAAAATTAGCTTACCCAACACCTCCCAGAGGATCTATTTGAAACCATCCTAGATCTTGTGGCTGAGCACCAAAAGTACCAAGTTGGATAAGAAGGCCTGTGGTGCCTTCCTCAGGTGGGAATGAGGCTCCTCATCCAGAGACACCCAATCAAAAAACCACCTGTTCCATTCAAACTCAATTCCTGCCTTTAGAATCCCAAGTGGTCAATAAACAGCATATATTATTTCTTCTCCATGGCAAGAGAGCAGTCTGTCCTAGCCCTTGGGGGATTTCTCCAGGCCTAGTCAGGTCCAGAAGGAAAGACATGGCCTTTGTTGCTGACATCTGGGAATCAAGTGTTCCAAAGAGGGCACAATTCCATAGCTCCATTCTGTTTCTGCCCCCGCCCCTGCCCCCGCCCCCAAAGCCCTCTCCTCTGGGACCTCCCACATCCGGGGCCACAGAAAAGTGGAAATCTTCTGAGAAGGACTCACAGCCCACACTACCAAGATGACTGGTTCAAGCCTCTCCACAGAAAGCAGGTCTTGGGGGTTATGTGCAGGAAAAGGCCTGACACTGTCTTCAAATAGGAAAAGGGGACAATCCCTGAACCCACCTCAAGGGAGCCAGACAGAGCATTCCCTGTGAGGCTGATTTCATGACTGGTCCACCCGGCCAGGATGTTATCATAGACGAATTGGCCTAGCAGGGTGTGAGTAAATATGAGTCAACCCACATAGAAGCAAACCAATGACCACATCAAACACCTTCGCAGTCTCAGTAATTACCCCTTACCTAGTGCCTACTATACACAAGACGCTACCTAGTTTAATCCAATCCTAGAAACAACCATTCCTGGGACTCATTTCACAGGCTCAGAGAGATTACATTACCTGCCCAAGGTCACACAGCTGCTAAGCTTCAAAGCGGAGTTTTGAACTCATGTCTGTCTCCCTTCTGAGCTGTGATACTGTCATTACACTATGCCGCCTGCCTTAAGGGAAGTGATGACAGCAGATGGAAGAAGGGCTTTTATTGAATGGAGCCTTGACCTGAATGGTCCGGAGTAACTAAGAGATATTTGGGGTGCCTCTCTGTGAACTCTTCCCCGCCCACTAGACTCCCTGCCCGGAACCAAGAAATAAAAGCGGAGATGGATATAGGACTCAGACCCCAGGTCACTTGTGCGTCTCAAACTAGAGGACCCCTGCCCCCAGCACCGTTTCTCCAGCCCGCGCCGATACACAACGGTCCCAATCAACCCATCTTCCCACACCTCGAGCTGCCCTCCGCCCCAAGCTTCACCGCCGGCTACCCTAATCCTTCATCCCCGGCCTCGCCGCTGGCGACTACCGGCCCCAAGCCTTACCGCGGGTGGGCGGATCTTGCAAATGCCGGACTTCTCGGCGATGGGCCTGATTTTCGCGATGTATCCCAGAGGGTCTCGGAACTCAGCCCAGCTAGGCTCGAACACCGGGCACTCCGGCGGCGGTAGAAAGTCGTCAGACCCCGGCTCCATGGTGGGCCCGAGGAATGGGCCAGGGATCAGCAGGGCTCGAACCGCCCTTAAGGGCTCATGGCGCCGCCGCTATTTGAAACCGAGGCACTGCTCGGAGACTAGGCCCTAAGCCCGGCGGCCGCCGCCCGCCGAAGGCCTAGGGGGGCGTGTGGCTGCCGCACTCTGAGACTCTCAGGATAACGCCGCTGCTATCCCCTCTTCGTCTTGTTCCGTTCCTTCCAAACTCTGCCGCTGCCTCCTAACTAACACAGCCCTCACCACTACAGTTACCTCCCAACCGCCGCGGCCTCCATCGCCGCCGCCGCCATCTTGGTTTGTCAGCGTCTCCCCCTCCCCTCACCACAACAAACCGGATCCCTCCGCGGAGTGTCCCTCCGAGCCTCTTTTAACTAGCGTCAGGATAAACTCTAGGAAGCCCTTATCCTTTGGGGACTTGGCTAAATAGAATGTCACGGGTTCCCTATTTGGAAGCAATTACTCAAAAGTACCTTCCCGACTTACAGAAAATAGTTCACCTCAGCCGCGGAAGAACAAGGTTGTAATTTGTTCGCCGGATCCTTTTTCCGGATGGACCGGCGGTGCACGTTTAAAGGCCAGTGGTGCGCATGCGCATTTGGGGGGACAGACCGGAAGAGGAGCTGGTCTCCGTGGGTGGTGGGTACAAACTGACGCCCCGCTCCGCCCCCCACACCCCCCCACCCAGAGGATCTCAACCTGGTCACCAGCCCCGCTCCAGTGTTTTCTGCCCTTTATCCTTAATCTTTTGTGTGGACCGCGGAAGGCAGTTTGGGGTGCCTGATTTCACAAGACCCCTTCTATACTGGCTCGCAGGTGGAGCAAAATATACTAGGCTCCCTGTTCTAGGCCCCGACCTCTAGAGCTTTGGAAAAAGGAAGGCAAGAGGCCGCTCACTCCCTGGGGAATATGGATTTTTAGAACCCTAAATCCTCGGTCCCAAGTAGAGGAAAGACATATTTCTTTTATCCAAGGTTATGTAGAGGCCTCTCAGAGATGGGTTTTCATTCTTAACTCCCAAAGAATCATTGACAGCATTTTAATGAATGCTTTCAACTATTCTGTATGTATTTATGTACACATTTGTGGCATAGTAATCCTATAAAATAAGCCCGAGTGTATATATATTTTAACTGCTGGATGTTTAGCAAGCGTTATTTTATCCTTCGCCTACCAGTGAGTGCTACTGTGTAAAACACCAGGGTCAATTGTAAGCTTACAGCATACTGTTTCTCAAATGTCTGTGTACAGCCCGGCATGGTGGCTGAGACAGGAGGATTGTGAGTTCAAAGCGAGCCTCAGCAACTTGGCGAGGCTCTAAGCAACTCAGTGAGACTCTGTCTCTAAATAAAATACCAAAAGGGGGGGGGGGGCGAAGATGTACCTCGCTGGTTAAGCGTCCCTGGGTTCAATCCCCTGTACCCAAAAAAAAAAAAAAAAAAAAAAAAAAAAAAAAAAGAAAGAAAGAAAAGTGGTTGTGCACATTGTGTGTTTATTGTGTAGTATAGAGCCCATCATATGCATTTTATTACTGTATGTACATCTACTCTTATTGAATGCGTGTTCCTTGAGCAGTTTCAGAATAGATTTGAAACAGACCCCTATGAAATTAAAAACTTCCCGATGACAGCATTTACTTCCTCCAACAGAGCACAGACACAAGTGAAGCTGAAACTGATTGGTTCTCTGGCTTATTAAATATGAATATGTATATTTCCTGCCTTTTGTTCCACCTGCCTTAAGAGCGCCCAAGAAGATGATTTGAGAAGTCTCTAATTTCCTCCAAGTTGGCTTTGAATAAACCTATTTTCCTTACCAACCTGTCTCCCAGAGTTTTAGTGGAACAGTGAACAGTAAGACCTTTCCCCCTGAGTAACATGTTCATCCCAACTACCTTGAAGGAGTATCAAATCAGTATTTTGTCCATCAGTCATCTACTGCATTTGAGGATCATCTCTATTATTCATCAGGTGTAGGCCCATGGCATGTAGTTTGAATACCAACTCTACACATATTTCAGTATTTATGCACATGCTATTAAGTGCTTGTTTTGTGCTCCTCTACCAGACTATGAATTCCTTAAGGGCAGGGACCATGTAGCCATATACATACTTAGCACCTGGCATGGTAAGCAGTAAATGTTGAATGAACAACTGTATAGTTTTGAGTAGACTGAGTATATTGACTAAAAATAATGTATACTTTTTGCAAACATGTCCTATATATATTAAGCATCTACCATGAACTTGAATGCATTTCAGGGGGTGGGGAATGTCATTCCTTCATTCAGTTAATTATATCTAATCACATACTGTGTGCCCAGTTAGGTAGATTCTACCTACTTCAGGACTGAGTTTAGGAAATCCTAGCTGAGGGAGCAGGTAGGAGCTCGCACCTGGGTCAGACAGGCCTGCCTTCCTGTTCTACCAGCTCTACCATTTTCTAGTTATGTGACCTTGGGCAACTCCCAACTTCTGAAACTGAAATGGGGATGATAATACCTACCTTGCATGATTATTGTACAGTACTTGGCACATAGCAAGTCCTCAGTATCTGGTAGCTGTTACTTTTGTTTCTGAGAGTCAGCAACCAATATGTTAAAACTCATTAAGAATATCCTTTGTGCCAGGCATTCAGGCATTGTGCTAGTGTTTTTTTTTTTAATCCCCTGGATCTTTATATTACCTTGATTGTTCAGGATCTTTATCCGCACTCGGTCCCAAGTAATATAAATGGTGACATCTCCTTTCTAGTTTTCTAGATGTCAGGGGAAACCCCAGTACCTCCCTGCCAGAAACACATTTTTTTTGAGACAGTGTCTTGCTGTGTTGCCCAGACTGGTCTCAAAATAGGGTGATCAAGCGACCCTGCCACCTTCAGCCTCCAAGTAGCTGAGACCAGAGGTATATTTTATTATGCATGGCTTCTAGCCTGGACTATTAAAAGAACCTCCTCAAGGTACCTGTGTGAGCACATGGTTTATTGGATAAATAGGGAGAGAAACAGAGAAATATAGATGAATACTACGTGCTTAATACATATACATAACAATAAAATCATATATTCAAATAGTGATAATCAAAATGAATTATGGCAGTAGTGGATTATAGCTCATTGATTAAAAATTCATGAATCCACATTGATATAAGTAAAATGAGGGAAAAGGGAAAGCTCTTTTTAAAAGTAGAATGTTTAATAATAAATACTGAAGGAATGATAGGGTTAAAAAATCACCAATGGATGCTCAAACTTTTTCAAAGTAATAGAGAAAATTCTATAACACCTACTGCCCAAATCTTTTATTTCTAAATGCCATTCTATACTAGAAAGAATCAGGGCTCCTTGGACACAATGACTGTTTCCAGAGTTGGGGCAGGAAAAACATAAGATAGGTCTGAAGCATCTCTTGGTGCCAGAAAAAAAGGAAAGTGCTCAAAGAAAGATGGAGACATGCCAAAGGACACAGGAGCCAACTTGAAGGGCTTCCTGCTGGCCACATCTGGGGCATTCTGAACATTAAAATAAAGAATGATGTTAATGGGTTATATATAACCCATAGAGTAAAACAGCCATGAGTCCATGAGGATATAAATAAATGTGGGAGGAGGCAAAGTTGTACCTTATAGTGGAAAGCCAACAAATACACATGAAAAGAATGATGGCATTTGAAAATCACCATTTGGCAACCTCAGCCATAGTAATTGTTTCAGTGGAGAATCATCAGTGAATGTTAAAACTGGTGGGTAAAAGTTTGAGGAATAATAGGATATTTACATAAATGCATCTCTCCACAAAATACTCATTATAAGGGGAAAATAGTGATTTTACAGTGGAAATACTATATAGTCCAACTATCACCTGATATTTCTTTAGCTGCTGCTGAAGCCAGTTGGAAAACCTGTTGGCAACAAAGCAGAGGAGGCCTATCTGCCTCCATGCTTCATTGTATGCTGCGCCTACCACCTGAGCTGCACTCTCCCCTTTCTTGCCATGCCACTAATACTTGTATTTTCTCACACCTCAGGGCCCTTGCACGTGCTGCCCCCTCTAATGAATGACCTTCTTTAGCATGCCAATTCCTTCTCAGTCTTCAAACTTAGCTAAAGGGGCAGTTCCTGAAAACCTTCCTTGACCCTACTCCCACCCCCAAGTGGAGTTCTTTGTGTCCCCACACACCCAGTGTTTCTTTCCAGACCTGATCTTAGATTGTCCTGACATTACCCACCAGGCTATCAAATCCTAAAAGTCTTGTCCTACACTGTCCATTATGGTTTACACCATCCATGAATGGCTATTTAAATTGAACTATTATTGGTACTGGGGATTGAATGGAGGGGCACTCTACCACTAAACAGCATTCCCAGCACTTTTTATTTTTTACTTTGAGACAGGGTCTTACTAAGTTGCCCAGGCTGGCCTCAAACTTGTGATTCTCCTGCCTCAGCTTCCTGAGTCACTGGGATTACTGGTGTGTGCTACCATAGCCTTCTAAATTTAATTAAAAGTCTTAAAATTCAATTCCTCAGCTGTACTAGCCTCATTTCAAGTGCTCAGCAGCCACATGTGTCTAGTGGTTACCATATTGGACAGCAGAGATAAGAACATTTCCATCAGCACAGAAAGACTTATTGGACAGTGCTGGTCTAAAACAAAGGTTAAGAGCTCTGTGAGATCCTAGAACCTTTGTCCTTTGATATAAGAATAGTCAATAGGCTTCTTGTCTCCAGGTCCTCAGAGAAATGGGGAGGTGAGATGAACTACTGCTCCAAAGTCTGGGCCAGGAACCTCAACTGAGAAGGAGAAGGTAGGGGCAAGGACAGCCTGGAGCTAGAACCACAATGAGGATAGGAAGAGAACTTATGAAAGAGCTGAAGGAAGCATGAGGAGGTCCCAGAGGGTCCCCAAAGCTTGGTACACCAGGTTGCATCAATTAATAAATCAACCAATACAAAGATACCTTATTCTAAGCATAGAAAGAACTATTCAAGTCGGGTGTGGTGGCACATGCCAATAATCCCAGCAACTCAGGAGGCTGAGGCAGGAGGATTACAAATTCAAGACCAACATGGGCAACTTAGTAAGCTTCAGTCCCAAAATACATTTTTTGAAAAAAGGGCTGAGTTATAGCTCAGTGGTAAGGTGCTTGCCTAGCATGCATGAAGCCCTGGGTTCAATCCCCAACAAAACACACACACACACACACACACACA